ATCGAAAATCAATTTCTATTTAATTTCTATTCGCTGCAATCGTTCTTAAAACTGATTGAGTTCTTAAGTATTTTCGTTTCGCCTAAATATTTGTCAAATCTCTGTGAAACTAAAGAGTATAAAATAACAAATTCGATTCGCATTTTTTCACAGGGAATTTAATCACGCGAAAAGATTGATGGAACGTTCGCTCGTCTAAATAATTAATTCTCGTAAATTCCCGTCGAAATCGATGCAATTCTAGATACAAGCAGGAATGAAACAGAAATTACAAGCAGTACAAAAAAAGGTAAGGAGAGACAACTTCGCGAGAAGTTCGGTTGAGAATGAAGTTTTCATTAGGCGAGCAATCGGGCATGCTCTTTGCTTCGGCGAATATCTGACAAATTAACGGCTTCTTACGTTTTACACGGACGCCCTGTGTGTACTCGGCTTTCTATAAAACCCGATAACACGATGCACTTCGCTAAATTGTAACGTTTGTAAAAGTTTGTTCGCGACGGGAATTAGAGTGGTCTCTTAGGTAGGTTCCGGCCTTACTCGCACAGTCCTAATACAGAGACGGCTAAACGTAACGAGCAGAGCGCATTAGGGTCGCTCGTTATCTCCATTCCGCGTGCCCCGTTTTGCATAGATTATTATTGCATCGTTGACGAGTTTTGACATACCGCCGGTGCCACATGAATATGAATTCCTGTATGTGGAGCACACGTGTCTCCGCGGAAGAATCTTCCCTGCCCGCGAAGTAGAGAACCCTGTTTGCTTCGTTAAGCTGATTTGCGCGACCGCGACTAATCAATACAGTTTTATGGTCGCGGAATAGTATTAACAATTCGATGCTGCCGCGAAAGAACGAAGCTTAATCATTTGGTAATTGGTACGGTAACTGATTGAATTTATTTGGAAGTTTCTGAGCTAATTGCTTCTAATTAATTCGGAGATAATTTGCTATGTACAGTTGATTATTTCAATTTGCTGTGAACAGTTGAATATTTTAATTTGTTGTGAACAGTTGAATATTTTAATTTGCTGTGAACAGTTGAATATTTTAATTTGTTGTGAACAGTTGATTATTTTAATTTGCTATGAACAGTTGAATATTTTATTTTGCTACGAACAGTTGAATATTTTAATTTGCTGTGAACAGTTGAATATTTCAATTTTCTGTGAACAGTTGAATATTTTTTATTTTGCTGTGAACAATTGAATATTTTAATTTGCTATGAACAGTTGAATATTTTAATTTGCTATAAATAGTTGCAAATAGCGATACATTTTGTGAATAAAATAGTAGCAATTCAGATAAAAGGAGTTTGTTAAATATTCCGGTCTCTCGAATTTCTATTAAATATTGCCAATTAGTATCGTCGATATGTACTCAATTTTAACTATGAAATTGTTGAAACGAGCATCAAAATAATAAGTAATAACTATCGCGAAAATATTACTACTCACGATAGTCCAAGATACTACAAATGGATCTTCAAGATTCCTATTCAAACACCACCATTGTTTTGTTACTACTTTTTTTATTTGAATTTCAGTCGCTTCGAACTAGCGAGGCAATATTTTTGCCACCGTTAAGCCGAAATTGTACGTCAATTCTCTAATTGCGCCTCGATTGCAGAAAAACAAACACTTCGCAATGTGTGAATCGATTCAATCTCCATTTCACTCGTCTAATGAAAACACAGTTTTAATTGATTGGAGCGGTATACCAATCGTTAGCGGAAAGCTCGGCCGTATCGCGAGCCTAAATTCCATTATACACTATCGAATTTAAATTTCAGATTAATATCGACCCGCGTCGGCTGCCTGTTTTCGAATCTCTAAAAAGCGACAGAGCTGTTTCTAAATAGATATTCTCTGGCTATTTTTATTTGATAATTCTGACATTCGCAACGTAAATAAAACGTGCTGAATACAGTAAATTCTTCCTGATTTCCCTTTCAGCTTGTGAACAAAGACGGACAATTCGAGTCTCGCAGCTCATTTTTAGAGTCGCAAATTCTTCAGTTTTGTTTACAAGCTGAAAGAAAGTTAGGGAGAATCTGCTGCAATTAGCGAAATAGCAAAATATATTCGGATTTCTTTGCATTTGATTGAGAAAGTATATTAATTACGCTTCGTACTTCGAGCAATCCTAATAGAACCGACCAACTTAACAAGCATCGACTTTTTAACTGGTTCACAGAGCTGCTGACAAGTTTAACGAATTTATAACTTTTTAAATCAACCTGCAAGATGTCTCTCTAGAGAGACATCAAGGAAATTATAATATGTACGAAAGATTGAAATTTCGTTAAAATTAGAGTTAATTTGATTTCATCTTTCCGCAGCACCGTTTCATTATCGTTTACTTTCTATCCGCCTTTTCATTGCTTCATTTTAATTAAATACTCCCACGATTTATCAGAAACTTTTCTCATTCTTGTTCTCAGAATCATGCTGGTACAATCCAAGTTGTTTAGTTCAGATTTCAAACAAGTTACATCGCGTCTTAAAAGCAGTTCGCTCGCTCAGTTTTGAAAAAAAAAAAATTCAACGTCAGTTTAAAAATCGTTAAATTCGAATCATCGTTCGAAGCGTATAGCACAGTCAATTATAGTATAAGTATAGTCGATTTCGTCGTAACTGCACAAAACCCGCAGTCCATTAATATCCGTCGCTTTCAATTGTTTCGTAGACAAGAAATACGAACACGAATTTTATCTTGGAAATGCAGCAGCGAGCGCGGCAAGAATGCATTTGCAATGTTTATGGGGCAGGTGTTACCCGCGAATGAACCGCAGAAAAATGATTTAAGAGATTCGAAGTAGGATATGAAATCATTGGCCGGCGTTCCTCGTTCAGAACGTCATCGTGTTACCGATGATGATGAACGATGATTGAACTGCGCATTCTTCTGCTAAATAAATATCGTTTGCGTCAACTGTACGGAACAAGAGTCGAATAAACGTGTAATTCTTCTTTAAACACTTTGAAGAAATTTAAAATGATGGACGAAGATTTTTACAGCTTTTTTAAATAGGTTCAATTGACCGAAGCTAATGCACCAAGATCTTTAAATTATTCTGACGTCTTCGTTGCTTTGCGTTTCAAATGATAGTCAAATGAGGATGTAATTCTTCTTTCAATGCTTGGAATAAATTAAAAATGCTGTAGCAAGATTTCTAAATTCTTCCGAAGTCTTCATTGCTTTGCAATTTTGCTTACTAATTACTACCATAAATTCATCAATTGCAGGGTACAAGAATGAAACAAAAGTATACAGCTTCTTTTAATAGGTTCAATTGATCGAAGCTAATGCACCAAGATCTTTAAATTATTCTGACGTCTTCGTTGCTTTGCGTTTCAAATGATAGTCAAATGAGGATGTAATTCTTCTTTCAATGCTTGGAATAAATTAAAAATGCTGTAGCAAGATTTCTAAATTCTTCCGAAGTCTTCATTGCTTTGCAATTTTGCTTACTAATTACTGCGATTAATTCATCGATTGCAGGGCACAAGAGTGAAACAAAAGTATACAGCCTCTTTGAATAGGTTCAATTAATTGAAATTGACGTACCAAAATATCAAAAATTCTTTCGACGTCCTCGTTGCTTTGCAACTTCACNACCATAAATTCATCAATTGCAGGGTACAAGAATGAAACAAAAGTATACAGCTTCTTTTAATAGGTTCAATTGATCGAAGCTAATGCACCAAGATCTTTAAATTATTCTGACGTCTTCGTTGCTTTGCGTTTCAAATGATAGTCAAATGAGGATGTAATTCTTCTTTCAATGCTTGGAATAAATTAAAAATGCTGTAGCAAGATTTCTAAATTCTTCCGAAGTCTTCATTGCTTTGCAATTTTGCTTACTAATTACTGCGATTAATTCATCGATTGCAGGGCACAAGAGTGAAACAAAAGTATACAGCCTCTTTGAATAGGTTCAATTAATTGAAATTGACGTACCAAAATATCAAAAATTCTTTCGACGTCCTCGTTGCTTTGCAACTTCACTTACCAATCGCTACCATAAATGCATCAATCGCAGAGCATGATTGGAGCGCGAAGATCCGAGCGGAACCAATCCGCGTCCCGTGTTACCAAAAATTTTCGAAAATCCGCCGGAACATTTTACCCCGGATAGGCTATCTTCCGGCGTGGCCGTATAAAATTCCGTGGAAGTTCGGAAGTTCCTTTTTAAAAGTGCGCTCTCCTGGGCGTAGAGATGCGGGAAGGATCGAGCATACGGCCGCTCCGGAACGGCGATCACAAAGAACCCGCTGGAAGGTCCTCCGCGGGCCGACGCAAATAAACTTTCGAAAGGGGATGACCTAACCCCATAAATTCGCAACGAGACACTCCCAGTCGGCGCTTCTCAACCGTGAATCCATTCAATGTCAAAGTGAATTCCGTCGTCTAGCAGGACGGGCGGCCCGGTTGTTCGCCGGTGGACGCCGCTGCAAGCCCGGAGAGCGGCCGCGAAAAACGGCAGCGTCGACATCAAAAGCGAATGCCGCGCGGGAAAGGAAATTCGCGTGGCAGCCAATTTGCCGTAAGCGCCGCGCGATCGCATTTTCCTGGCCGCCCTTTTTTTTCGCGGGACCCCTATTGAAAGGGTGGCCGGGGGTGGGGGCAAAGGATCCTGGAACAGCCGCCAGAACCGGGTCAGAAGTTTCGAAAAAATCATCGAAAGTTCGCCCGACGTTCTCGGCCGTATTGTTCCGCGACTCTGCGCCGGCCTCGCCGCGCGATTCCACGGAATATCGTTCCGCCCGTAATTTCTTTCCCAATTCGCTTTATTTTACGCCGGCGCCGCTGGTTTCGCCGCTTTTTTCCGTCCCGGTTTGTTTCATCCACCGACGAGCCCGTGTCCGAAATTCCGCTCGCGTCGGTCTGTAACGGGGAAAATTTCGAGTCCGCGCGGAATTTCTTTGTTCGATGAACTGCATACTTCGCGATGCAAGTAACGAGACTGTTCATTTCCAGTGATATTGGTTACTTATTTGCGGCGACGGTGTTTGAAGCTGACGACAGTCGATTTAATGGGCGAAGAATTGTTAGATGAACGGCGGGTTTTTAAGTAGAACCGGTGAATAGAAGACGGATATAATTGTTTTTTAAATTGGTTTAAAAGACTTGAATATTTTTGAGACGTTAGACCGACTCAATTTTACAGTTTTCTATGAAACGAGTGTACAAAAAGTTTTTAGATTGCTCTTGATTGAAGTGATAAAGAAATTAAAAAATGATATTTCTTCAACTTTATATCTGAGCCCATAACGAAAATTTAAAAAATGATGCACTTTGAAGATCTGCCCTAAAAATGTTGTGATGATTATTTTGTCTTGATTATTTATTATTATTATAAAATATTATATATATAATATATATAATATTATTATAAAATCGTATGCATTTATAAGGGAGATGAATAGTTCGAATACGAAAACTGTAAAGACATTTTAAAAATGTCGAATATCGCTGCATTGTGTGCAACTTATCAGAATAATTACGAGAAAAACCGTTTCTTGCAATTAATTTAAGCAACTTCTATTTTGCATAAAGATCCACAGTCTAAAGTGCTTATGACGTACACGGTAATTAAACAAATTTATTTCTTCGCGCGGAAACATATTAGGTCTATACCGAAAAGTTCTGTCTGACAATGTCATTGCAAATTTCAATAGATATGCACATATTCATTTGAGACATATATTTTTGAAAAATCTTGCTCACAAATTGCCATCACGCTGCCATCAAGAGGTCATAAGTAACGACGGAAATGATATTGTATAATATAAATATTATTAAATTTATGAAAAATCTATTATTTCCTTTAATTTTCTCAAACGGACAGAACTTTCCGGTGGACCTAATATTTTTACGTATCGAATCGTTGACGTGTATTTATAATTGCATGATTCAGTACGTTCGCCATAAGGCAACGAGGTTGGTTTCGAGCGGAAAGCACAAGGGGTATTGTGTCACGGTCGGGGTCAGGCAGTAAAATTAATGTTGAAACCGAAGTCTCGTAAATTGTGGTTTAAGTCGAGCCCCGGAAAGCGTTATGGAGAATTGTGAACGACATAAACAGCTTTAAGTCGTAAAACGGATGGAGAGGACCGGCATCGTCCCGCAACAAAGCGCACGTAATGAAAGTGAAAAGGCGGCGGGCATCCATCTTCGCGTGATTGCGGAGCTATTGTTTAATTATGCACCTTTTCGGTTCCATTGAGAAAATAAAGCGAGGAAGGTGGACGGAAACTGAACTGAATCAACAATTGGCGCAAATGAAATTCTCCGAATGGAAACTCTTGAAAAGTGCACGGAAAACTGAAAATTCAGGAAATCTGTGGCAGAACAAGAAACTTTCGTATTATCCTGCTGCTAGAAATTTCTATTTGAAGAATTACATCGAGAACAATGGAGATGGAGAATAATGGAAAACACAACGCTTTTTAAAAAGAGCATCGAAAATAATGCAGAATATTAGGATCTTCTAAAAATATTTTTATACTACCTTCTATTAATTAATTTAACATTTTTCTCTCTTGCAACGTCCACAGCAGCGGATGTCGAAAATAAATAAAATATGAGACCTAATTATAACTTGCACCCTGTCAGAATTTTTTATAATTAGTTTGATCGTTAATATACATCCTGTTAATATAAAATCATTTTTTATTTAAGAAGTACAGTAACAATGTATCTTTATACTGTTCAATCAACTAAAAATTGTAAAGTTTGCGCACAATGATATTTTCCATTGTAAAGGTGTAAAATTTTGTCTTCATTATTGCTGGAATATTTGCATTCGAATGAACTTTCTTTGTCATGCAATACCGATCAATGAAAAGCTTTTGAAACAAATAATAATAATAATGAAGATAATAATAATAATAATAATAATAATAATAATAATAATAATAATAATAAGATATAATAATAATAATAATAATAAGATAATAATAATAATGACTGCTTCAAAAATTCAATATCGCTTCAATTGTTTTCGCTTGCTTACAGAGACATCCCGAAGGGGTTGCACAGGTGACATTCCGAGAACCAGCGGAAGCTCAGGCTTGCGTGCAATTATTGAACGGGCGCTGGTTTAGCCAAAGAAAAATATCCGCTGAAATCTGGGATGGAAAGACGAAGTACAAGTAAGTTATCGGCTGCTTCCACTCTTTATCGACCCGCTTTCACACTTGGCCGATGCTTAACTGCCGGCCGATAAATTATGTTCCTTCGGTACCGACGTTATTTATTTAATACTTTGTTTTACCAACGGTTAAACAATGCAGTTTCAACAAAGGACAAGGTATATTTCATCTGTACTCTTCGTTCTTAATGCTACTATTTCTATTCTTGTTCTATCAATTTTAATAAATCATTTGTCCCCACAGTTTTCATTACAAATCCTTTTCCCTTGAAGATAATATGATTTTTTAAATGAATTTTGAATGTTTATTGTCCATTCGAACTCTTGTTCTAAACAAAACCATTTTACTGCCGCATAATTACTATAATTTTTAATTGCATTGAATAGTAAGGGAGGTTTTATCTATTGTTGGTGCACATATCTGATATAAATTTATAAATAATTTTTTATTCTATAATTATACAAATACTATTGTTGGAATTAGAAGTCTGAGTTTACTCTGAAAATATTATTTATTGATGGGTCATAGGGGAAAGAATATTAATGATTTCTCTATTTAAATATAATTATATAATAATTAAAGATTATAGATTATATTACAGACGCGTGCACATTGATTACAATTGATAATATTCTTGTCGCTATCAGCTTATCAAATTGTTATACATATTATTTTCATATTGCCTTCAAATTAATATTATTTCTTCGTAATTGTTCTCAATTACATTTTCTTTCCTCGCACTTGCTAACCTCTATCACGCCTTCTTAGATTAATTAATAAAGTAATATCATCTTTTAATCTCATTGTTAATGATATAATAATTACGATAGAAATTTGTGAAAATGTGAGGAGAAATGATCGACGATTTTAATGTTATTTCCACTGTTCTACAGAATCACGGAAACCGACGCAGAGATTGAAGCCCGTATTGCAAAATGGGATAAATATTTGGACGGAGAGGACGAAGAGCAAAAAGGAGAATCGGGAAAGAAGGGGAAAAAAGGAAAAGTCGGGAAGGAGGAGGGACGGAAGCAAGGTGAGGAAACGCCGGAAACAAAGCCAGTAACGCCGCATCAAACGACTGTGAAACCGGAAAACAAGGAGACAAAACAAGCGACGGAAAATGTAAAAATGCCTGGAACGACGCCGACAAATCCCGAAAACTAGGGCCAGGCAACCGAACGAAAATGAAACTACTAAAAGCAACAAATGGAAACACTTTCAAGCAACCGTAACTGAGAATAACGTTGGCGATCACAATTAGATGTATTTTTTCTAGATTACAAGGTAACCGCTTGTATCTCTTGTTGTTGATCATGCCAATATTATGGCATTAGTTACGTCGTAACATTGTCGTTGCTCGATCAGAATAAAAAAAATGACTTCGCTTGTAACAAGTGATTTTATTGTTTAACCTAATATCCGCTGGACTTTTAGTAGCACCGTTTAAAAGTATATTTAATTACTGAAATCGGTGTACAGGTAAAGGTAAGTCACACCTGTGGTCTTTTTTATTTGTTACAATTACTTTTATCATCTTAATATAGGCTAGGGGTTTCGTATAGGATATTTTTTTAATGCTTCTGCAACTTTCTGATGAAATTAATTTCAGAGATATCGTCTTTTTCGACTTATTAATTAATTGAATAGGTAAAAGAGGATGAATCGAAGTTCTTGAATATGATAAAATAATTGACGAGTAGTGCAATTATTTAGATTATGCAAGCATTAAAATGTTGCATACTTTTAAATGATTAAATCAGACGGAAAATTAATAAAATGTTTTGATGATGCAGAATTATTGTTTATTGAGCAATTAGGATACACGTGTATACATCTTATTTACTACAAAAACTAGTACTTTTCAACATTGATTTTTGAAAATATTAATATTTTACAAAATGACGACTGTTTTAACGTAAATTCTTAGTATTCGGCAT